GAGGAAATGCGACTATTTGGAAAATATTTATTGCCACTCTATACTCATGTAGTTATGTTTTCGATCAAGGAAATGCCGTCTACGATCGACAAGAGCAAGGCCGCGTTTCTTTTCTTGTATCCGTCTGCCTTCATCTGTCGATAGCATATCGTCAGCATCTCGGTCCCAACGGTAATTCGCATATTTCCTGTAACACCGCTCTGTCATAGGCACAGCATTAGGCACATGGGCAGACGATACAGAATTTTAAGCTTTCGTATGCATTTGAATGTATACTGGAAACCTCTAAACTGGTGGAGATATAAAATCAGTGAAGCACATGTCACTGTACTCCATGCTCTTTGCACGAACCAGCACAAATGGCGGAGAGCTTTCATATTCCTCAATAGCCATTGAACCCTGAACTTTGCATCCTAAAACCCAATACTCGCTCGCCTCTCTGATTTCAAGTGGCCGTCACAACTACCACGTATTCGCAGTTTACTCACACTAAAAAATCGGTCTACTCTGTCAACACCCATTGTGAGATCGCTCTGTGCATACCTGGGTACGCCTCATACTTGGCACCTGACTCCTTAACACCAACCATGATGTTCATCACAGTATTCATCCAGAGGCCACCACACCCATTTACATACATCACACTCAGCTAATTACCAATATACATTACACAACGCTAGAACTACTACACCGTAATCCTAACATACCCCATGCCGCATCAGACTCGCCCCCGGCAGCTTTCAAGTATTTGTAACTGACTTTTACCGACCAGGAAGTTTGGTACATTAACTGCCATGCTTCGTCTATGGGACGCCCTGTGTTTGCGCTAAGATTCCGCACAAAAGTTCTTAGTTGCCCGTCGGTGTATCGCCTCGGAAGGAGTGTTGGCTAAGTAATCCAATGAACACGTAAAATTAGTTGAATTGCTGTTGAGGAATTTCGTTTGGTCACACTTCCAACCCCTTGTTAGTGCTCATAGAAGATATGGTAACGATAAGACCCGCCACACCACCGGCAAAGCGACCAAGTGCACACACAAACCAAGTGCATGAATTAAAGAAATCTGATATACCTCTTTTACGTGCAACCACGTTGTGGAATCATCGAGCCTGTAGGCACTATCTTTACCTCCAGCAGTGTGTACGCGACTATTCACACTCGGCTTGTCTTTGTGTGCGGTGGACTGTGTCTTCTTTACCCCTCGACTTGCCAGACGGGTATTGTACGTTTTCTGTTCGATTGAGGCGGGAAAGATTGTAATGGAATAGTAAGATGCACTGTGACAAGCGAGTGAAACAGAATGTGACGAATTGCATATATTGATACAAATACATGTATGTGCTATACACATTGAGAGTGAAACGCTGACATGAAGATAATCCAATAAGCCGGATAGAACTCAATGGTAATAAAATTTAAAATGAAGTTTAATTGAGTCATGAATTCATACTAGTAAAACGTCGTATCATATTAAATAACCGTATGATTTGGGACATGAAGTTCAAATACTCACAACGTCAGTCAGACTTTTGGTAAACTCTAAATCCCACTAAATCACAATTCGTGCCACGTATCCGCATACATAAGAATCTGTTCGAAAATACATACTCCAAGAAGTACTAATAATACTACATAAACGCGTATGGCTCGGGGTTACTTATTGACTAACATGCGACCAAACTATATGGTGTACCCCGGACACTGTTCTCTACAAATTCCCTGTCTCAACCTCACTCGCAACACGCGAGGTCCTAGCCACACAATCGTACCTTTGGTGCAGCGCTTTTCCTCGGTGATCTTTTTGCGCCCAGATTTGCAGGCAACTTTGTTGCTTCTTGCGGACCAGGCAACTCTGTTGCTTCGTGAGGGTCAGGCAACTTTATTGCTTCGTGAGGGTCAGGCAACTTTATTGCTTCGTGAGGGTCAGGCAACTTTGTTGCTTCTTGAGGGTCAGGCAACTTTGTTGCTTCGTGAGGGTCAGGCAACTTTGTTCCTTCTTGAGGGTCAGGCAACTTTGTTGCTTCTTGCAGGTTAGGCAACTTTGTTGCTTCTTGAAGGCGGCTTGGTTCAGACTAAGGAAAAAGGACGAATTTTATTCAACTTCAGTAACGACACTGCAGAAAAAATGGTTGACAATAATAGTAGAAAATACATATATGTAAACACACGCACAGACACAGAAGAACTAACTAAAAGAAAATAACATATATATATATATATATATACATACATACATACATACATATATATATATAAATATATATATATATACATACATACATACATATA